TCTGATCACAGTGCCACGGGTGGTAATGGTTATAGTAGGAGTTTGGATCGTTTGTTCTGCTGGGACCATCATAAAGTTTTGGTTTGACAAATGGGTTATTCTTCCAAGTATAGCAGCAATGGCAACTCTTCTAACAATTGCGTTTTGCACAAGTAAGATATTCCAGATTGCTCTTAAGCACCAACGCCAAATAAATACGCGAAACCAAACAATGGCTAACTTACAACACAACACAGTTGAGGTGCTCAAATGCAAAAAATCAGCCATAACAGTACTCTATGTTTATGGCTTGTTGTTGGCTTTTTATCTTCCTTTCATAGTGGTTATGGTTCTTGAAACAATAAAAGGTACCACGCGGTCAGTAGGAACGGCTTGCGAGTACGCCACAATAGTTGTGTTAATAAACTCCTCAATAAACCCTATTATATACTGCTGGAGAATTAAGCTAGCGCGATCCGCAGTCAAACAATATCTGAAAAGGCTGTTTTTCTGTAATAAAAGTTAGCTCTCCTTGACTGCAAAGGTGCAAAATAGTTTGAGCTGTAACATGATGGCACAAGCTTTCGTTGTACTTCTTCCTTGTTGCACGAAGGGAAATTTTGGCTTCATCATGCATAATCTAAACGACTGGAATATTCGGATTTTTTATTTTATTCATAATGTGGTACAGAAAGTACATTTTCCACTCTCTTTGTTAATATTTTTTTGTTTGCTGTGCCATGACAGATGTTTTAGTATTGTTTATTTTATGTTGACAGGGAGTTACATGTTATAGAGTTTTCTTAATCATAAACGTATCTCAAACATCGGGACTCCATTTTAACAACATTATTATAGGATGGTCTGATACACTTTTTTTTCTTTTCTTTTTTTCTCTGAAAGGTAGCTATCAAAACACATTTGATCTGACCTTTTACAAAGATTTTCGTCCCCACCAACCTGTGCATAAAACGTACAACAACGTCATGACTCTCATAAAAATGATCGTGGGCGTATATGACAAGGCCTTTCTCAGTTACCTCACATGTGACAGTCATAGGTAATCGTCTCATCTTATACATAATGCATGTATTCCTATATTATCGATGTGTGCATAAATGAAAAATTAAACTGCAGGGTCGAGCTCAGTTGGACTGCGGCGGTGACAGGGTTCAATAGTCATTTTCACGGTTAGTTTTTCTCATTTACAATGTAATCAAGAATGTAATCCTGCAACGTGGATGCGAAGCAATTTTAGGCTTCAGCTACAAAATAGCCCGAAAATGCTTTACATACATGCTATATTATATTGCAATTTAACTGCCGTATTAACTCGATTAAACGCCGCGGCGTTTAGTAAATTTTTCGTTAATCGAGTGCGGAGTTTATTCGAGGGCGGCGTTTATTTAAAATCCAAATTATTTCTTGCAAACAATAGTATGGTAGGAGCATTGAAAGAGCATTGAAAGAGCAATGAAGTATACTCCGAGCTGAAATAAACATAGTTATCGATAAAAGCAAATTTACAAAGCTTGTTTAAGTTGAAATACCATATGTTGCTCTCGTGTTTTGATTATATTCCTTTGAGCTTCTAATGTACTGATATTCGAAGACATTGTTACAATTAAGGAAAATAAATTTCTTAAGCTTCCTCACCAAACTTGATTATTACTGCGTTTGCTTTTTGACTTTAATATTCGAATAAACGCCGCATCACGCGTTTATTCAAGCGCGGCGTTTGTTAATACTTCTGCTCCAAAATGCGGCGTTTATTCGAGGGCGGCGTTTAATCGAGTAAATACGCTAAGCAAAGTTTGACCGTGAAGGGCTATTCTAACCACTAGGCAACGTGAAATTTTATTTCGTCAGCCCGAACTAGTTTTAATTTGCACTAAATTTAAACCAATTCAGCGCACGTAACTAACAGTTTTGACCTAGTGCCTCCGGATTTTAACTGATCGAGTGACGCATTTTCTGTTAAAAAATACGGTGCGCGTGGCAATAGACCATGTGCACGATACTTACCGCAAAATTTTTCATAAATATTGCTATGCAAATTAAATATGACGACATTATCTGCCAATAGTTAGGTATCTCTGCGAAAATGACATTTCAGAGCAATATGATAATAGTGATGCCAACAGAAGTGTTCCCCTACATCCATATCCCTTCGCCTGTTGTTCTTTTCTTTTTTTTATTTCTATTTTTATTTTCGTTTTTTCTTAAAACATCGCCGAGATTATGTTTTTCAAGCGGGGTGTACACAAAATAATTCGTATTGCCTAAATCGCCCCATTCCGTTTTCCCGCTTGTACATCCTTCCTAATCTGTTCCATAACCTTGAAATTACAAGGGACCATATGGGTTTTGCAAAGAATACAACTGGAACGGGAGAAAAATGCAGACCGTGGCTCGAACCAGACCGGGTGGTAAGGAAAGAAGTCCTGGTGACGAGGTTGTCAAAAGGACACTTGTGATCTGCTGTAGTAACGTTCCGTGGGAGCCAATGCAGCCACCATATATTTGCAGTACTCAGAATAAATATAAGGAAACTTGTCTTACTATTATTGGATGCCAATATTGGAATGACATTCATATATTTATATACGTAATTAGCCGACCAGAAAACTACGTAAAAAGCCACTTTACCAGTTTTATTTTGTTCAGTATTAATAAGAGTAACATAAACCATTTGTTTACTATGGGTTTACCCTTTCCCCTCGTACACTAGTTTTCTTTTTATCCTAAAACACGGGATCTAATTAAAAGCCATATAATTAGTTTACTACATTTTGCATTTTGCACTTTCCTTTAACTGCATCTTATTTTAACAAAACTGCATTGAAATCGTCAATCATCAAATAAAAAAAAATATTAATACAGATACTCACAATTGTAAGGTCCCTAAAACAACTATGAGTACCAAAGATAACTGACAGTTCTCGCGTGAGTCGGGTATTGTAAAATCTCTTCGCGATCGTGTGACAAAGCAGGCTGAAGACACTTCAATTGAAAGACTATAAATATAGCTATCTATCGATGGCATGGGATGATTCCCAGAATAATTGAAAGGCCGAATTAATAAAGTACCCAGACAGATCAGCATGTCCCAGCATGATGAATATCCTACAGGAAATTTTGTTTTCATGGCAGCTGGTGTATTTTGTTCAGTCACAGCTAGAAAGTCTAGAAAGCGATGCTGGAGCCCAGACATCAAGCTTCCTAGGAACCTTGCGTGTAACAAAGGGCAAGATTGAGAAAGATCGGAATTTAAGAATAATATTGTAATTGTCGAGTGTCTTTTCAGTTTTTTCTTAACAAATTCTTAACAGCTCGCCGTATCTCACTAATTCTCCAGCAGTACACAAGTGGATTTAAGAAGGAGTTGATAAAAACGGCAGTTCCCGCGTATTCATAGGCGATTTTCACATCTAGTGAGTATCCAGTTAAGGAGTCCACAAGCATTGTCACAAAGAAAGGAAGATAGAAAAACATGAACAAACCATAAACAAAAAGTACAGTCACAGCAGATTTCCTACACTTCAACGCCGTTACTGTGTTAATCTGAATACTCTGCTGTTGTTGGCTTATCAGGCGCTGATGTGTGCGAACGATTTGAAATATCTTCAAAGTGCTCAGGGTTGTTACAACAAAGGTTGAAAGAAATAAAACAGTAGGAAAAATAATCCACTTGCTTATCCAGAATCGCAACGCAACCACCGTTATAGATGCGATCCAAAGAACAGAAACAGTTCGCACTATTCTGTCGACAGTAACAACCGTGTTGTATCGTAGATGCAGGGTTAGGGCGAGAAGTCGGTCGACAGAGATCCCGCTTAGAGTTGCCAAAGACATACCAGACGTTATGTAGCCAGATATCGTCTGAACGATTCGGAATGTGCAGTACACATTAAAGTTATCTGAAAGTTCGGCAATATTGTAAATCACGAAACATGGCTGACAAATCAGTCCCACGAGAAGATCCGAAGCAGAAAGGCAAAACAGAAGGGTGACAGACGGTGAATGAAGTTCATGTTTCTTCCAGATGACATGTAAAATAACCATGTTCCCAGTAGAGGTGAATAGAGAAAACACTACATTGAGAGTACATGTCAGAATGATTGCGATGAAGGTGTCTTTTGTCTGGTCCAAGTTTACGTTCAAAAAGAAGCAGTTTAGATGACTTACATTGGTGCTGTTCATGTTGGAAGATAAGAAATATTGTGCGCTATGATTTTTAAAGTTGTATAGCAGTTGAAATATGCCTTACGGTATATGTAATATACACCTGCGATGTTCAACACTAAAAATAATTGAGTTTGGTGATTGATTACCAAGACGGTGGGAGCAGTCTTTGGTGCTTCAAAGTTGTTTGCATATGAAAACTCAAGTGCTCTCAAAGAAGTCTATGGAAGTATTAAAAACATCACCCGAAGTGAAAAGACCAATCACATCCCATTATTTTTTCAACTTTGAAATGAGTCATTTGCAGTATTAGAGTCAACTGCGCCTGGTTAGTAATATGTTGCACATACTACACCAAAACCGGCTCTTATTAGACCTTTATATTTGAGCATAGAGTTAATTATTTCGAAATGAAGTTCTTGTTCGGCTAAAATGCAAAATTATGAAAGCTTGATTTTATACAGTATTCACATATCCCAACGTAATTTCAGATCCTAGCAAAATAATTTACTGCGAAGTTCAAGGAGGGAAAAAAGGTGTTTCCCTTTTAATTAAAAGCCACTCACGAAACCAAATAACACGTTCAAACAAAATAATACCACTGTCAAAAATGTCGTGTTGTGGTCTTCGTCTCCAAAAAGCAAAGAAAGCTGGGTAATACAAAAGATGTGGCAATACAATCAGCATATTTATCCATATAGTGATCGGTGACTAGTCACTCTGTTGACCCTTTTCAAAAATGGCTGCCAATTATAAATCCTTTTGTAAGTACTAAAATTAGCCTGACTAACCTCGTTTTTGAGTTGATAATTCAAAAGAATGTTTACTCCCAAACGGGTTTAGTGAGGCAAATTTAAATACATACAAAATAATTTAAAATTGACAGCCATTTATGAAACGGCTCTGTAAGAGAGTTACAAAAATCATTTAGTATGACTGGAAACACAGACTGAACTCCTCATTGTTTTCAAGGGATGCAAAATCGTAGAACTTATTTAAGATCCCTACAGTGATTACAACTTGCACTGGATATTAAATAAAATGAAATTATATAACCTGAAAAATATATACACAAAACATAGATTTTCAACAATTAAAAAATGGCAACAAAAGTTGCCTTAAAACGGAAAAACTAGTAAACCAGACAGAAATATGTTTAAGATGGTTAGATGTAAATTTCGTCCTTTTTTTTGGAAAAAATGCCTCGGGATCCAGATTAACTTGGTCCTTCCAATGAATGCTACACAAAACAACACACAGCCGCAAAACGTTAGCTCAAGTGACCAGGGAAGGAATTTACATAAATCATCATTTGCATTCAGATGCTTTATGAATAATGACTTAAAAGTTTGAGAGAGCAGGTTCTACTATAGAACTAATAGACACTAGTGTGGAAACGTGGCATTCTCTCATTCTCGCTGATATCTTGAAGATGACTACATGATTTGTTTTTCTGCTACCCTCTTTAAATAAAGTCTTTACTTACTTACTTACTTACTTACTTACTTACTTACTTACTTTATTGCAGTTCAACGAGATCTAGATTTTTATCAGAAATCTGGGTTATATACCAATATTCAGCCCTAGTTTGTTTCTCCCTCGACCACAATTATCTATTGTTACATAACTGTCGGTGATCAACATACGTAGCGATTGCTCTCACCGTTTCTTGATAAAATAATCGAGCTAAAAGCACGGGCAGAGAGATGCTTTAATTTGTTGAAAGCAAAGAGTAACGCAGCAACCTTTCTATCAGAATAGTTCATTTACAACAGGACCCAAAAGGTTTCACAGTACAGGTTTTTATCATATTCCTTGCTCGAGCTAAAAAAAAAAATTATTTTATATATCTATTAATATACGACTAAGAAAATTACTTGATTGTGATTGGCTGAGAGGCGGCCAATTTGCCGTTCATTTTTAATTTGCACTGCACTACAAATTAATACGTGCACTTTCGTAATATCAAAGCCATAACAATAATTATAATGAATAGTATCTGGGAAATTCTCATATTAATATCACTCGTACTGCACTCGCATGCATTCGATTACCAATACATAGCTAAAACTTCTGTCCCAAAATCATTTTCAATTTCTCAGTCTATTCGTTATAGCTCGTCGTACCTCAGTCCCCAATTCTCCAGCAGTACACAACTGGATTTAAGAAGGAGTTGATATAAACGACAGTTGTCGCGTAGTCATAAACGATTTTCACTGTTACTGTGTATCCAGTAAATGTTTCGACAAACATCGTTGTACAAAATGGGAGATAGAATATCACAAACAAACCGTAAACATAAAGTACAGTCACTGCTGATTTTCTACATTTCAGCATGTTTATCGTGTTGCTTTGAACACTATGCTGTTGCTGGCTTATCAGACGCTGATGTCTGCGAACGATCTGAAATATTTTCAAGGTGCTCAAAGTTGTAATAAGAAATGCCCGAACCAATATCAACGCTGGAACGATAATCCACTTGTTCATCCAAAACTTCAATGTAGCAACAGCTATGGCGAAGATCCAAAGGCAAACAGCAGTCTGAATCACGCGAGGAACAGTAATAACCGTGTTGTATCGTAGATGCAGGGTTAAAGCGAGAAGTCGATCAATAAAGACTGCGCTTAAAATTAACAATGACACGCCAGACGTTGTCCAGCTTGATATGTTCTGAGTCATTCGCAAAGTACAGTATGCACTGAAACTTTCTAAAAGTTCGGCAATCTGATAAGCCACGAAAAATGGCTGGCAAATGAGTCCAACTAGGAAATCTGAAACGGCGAGGCAAAACAAAAGGATGAAAGATGGTGAATGAAGTTCTTGTGCCTTCCAAATGACTTGTAAAATAATAAAATTCCCAGAAGCTGTTATCAAAGAAAACACCGCATCGAGAAAAACAGTTAGAACCCTTGCGATAAAAGTGCCTTTCGTTCGTTCCAAGTTGACATCCAAAAACAAGCAGGCAGGATGACTAAGATAGGTTTTGTTCATCTTGAATGAAGACTTATACCCATTTGACACATATTGCATACAAGTCTAATAATTATGTACAAATAGCTGCTGTATTTACTTGTAACAGTGGGAGTGCCAATTAACGGCGCCAGGTTTGTTTTCTGGATGTTTATAAAAATTTAAATGTTGAGTAGGAGACGATAAACTTGAAACAAATGAATTCTTACAGTCTTACATTCTTACATTTAAGCCAATCACAGTTCTAACGCTGAGTGAGTCGCCTACCTAGTCGGAACAGTTGAAACGGAGAAAGTTTCGATCTCACTTGTTCTCTAGAAATTTGACAGTCACTTTTAAAATTACAGTCAATCTGAACATAAAGCCAACCTTTTCTTTTTTCGGCTGGATCTAATATTCTATTGCGTGATTACGGTAATAGCTTTTTGTCAATAGGTTCTGCACATGCTAATATCACGTGCACTTGGCAATCACTAGTATTGTCGTGATGCGACCTGAAAAGCCGAAACAAAAAACCATCATAGAATTATTAAGAGTGCCTTTTGCGACACCGTTAATATTAAAATTTTAATTTTAATTTGCATGACGTTTTCCATGCTTTCAAAATTAATAATATCTACATGGAAAAGCTTGCTAAAGATTAAGCCACTGAAACCCCATATATTTCCTGATAAATTTTAGTAAAAGTCGCAAAGTGTGACATACCACTGTAGCTTGAATATTGGGAATACCTTGTTTTAATTCCTGAGGCTTGTGAACATTCACCTCTTAAATTATTTAGAACGACTTGGTGTCATGACGCTTAATTGGTAGCGAGGCAAATCAAAAGGACTAAACGATAAACAATATATCGGCTGCATCATAAACTCCCTGTACAGGAGAAAGAGCAGCGTAAATATAAAGTCAGATGGTCCTATTCATATTTCCCTGGTTCCAGACTGTTTTTCCTCTTCCCTTATCGAATATCTATAAAATTTGGGCTGTTAATTAGGCGACAACAAATCATCTGTCATACAATTACCTGTATTTGTATGTTTTTTTGTTGTTTAATTTTTTGTGGGAGAACTTCAGAAGATGTGTTTTGTATTAATTATAAATACAATATTTTTACAAAATTTATAGCACTCCGATACCAATTTGCATAGGACATTAACCCGTGTTTTTGTTAGCTCTCTTTGAAGTCAATAATATATCAAACACGAAACACTGTGTTCACAGTTCCAAACACCGTGAAGAGTGTTGAAGATACGACGCGTAGCGGAGTATGTTTGATGAACTTCAAGGTGTTTGGAAATGTGGCTAAATGCTGTCTTGAGTGTTTGAAAGATTTTCTTAATCGAAGCTAAAACTAACAAGAAAATGGAAAATTCTACCCTGATTAAGACAAGATATTCAAACACCGTCACAGTCATACACCTTATTCCAAAATGGCCGCAATTTTAGTTTTCTTTTGTTTACTTGCAAATTAGCCCTTGTTGCTTCGTTTAAGGGAAAATATTCTTTTGAATTTCGAGTTTAAGAACGAGGCAACAAGGACTAATTTGCAAGTAAACAAAAGAATACTGAAATTGCGGCCATTTTGGAATAAGGTGTATGATTTCCCTTGTTTAGACTTGATGAATTATCTATGAGTTGAGAATATGTGGTCGTAAATTTCTTCGTCGTTATTACGCTCGTAAAGCCTTTGTATTTCGTTTATCTCCTGTCAATAATTTCCTGGCAAGAAAATGTCCAATATCTTATTTGTTCGATTTCATATTATTTTGATTCATTTTATAATTCAGACGCAAGCATAATGATAATTCTCCAGCAAGACCATCAGGCGGATGCAAGAACAGGTTAACACAAACATTAGCAGTAATGCAAACATAGGCGATTTCAACTGTGAACCCACCTAATGTCTCCACGAACATCGTCGATGGAAGACAGGATATCGCAAACGCGTATAGTAATGACGGATTTGCTACATTTGAACTCGGTTACCACGTTGCCCTGAAAACTCCGCTGTTCAGTGCTACCTTATCTGGCGCTGGTGTCTGCGAACGTTCTGAAATAATTTTCAAGTTTAAAGTTGTCTGTGGGGTTGTAATGAGAACAAAATAGCAAGAAACTTCAGCAGAAATAACACCACCGGAATAAAAATCCAACGGCTCCCCAAGATCCGACACTACGCTAAACCCGCTTTGAAAATTATGTTCAGTTAATTGTTCTTTTCATGCTAACGACAATAAAACGTTTTCTCGTTCTCTGATTACAGCGCTAAAATATATACATTTTTTTAATTTAACAAGGGAAGGTGCATTTTATTTCGGTTTTATGATTTTTATCAGAATCAGATCAGATCGGTATGCGCAGTTGTACGCACCGTTGCGGCGCTAAATAATCAAATTTCTGAGCCGGATCAAGTAAATATATCACTGTTCAAAATTTCTTACAAAACTGTATATGTTAATATTATGTCTGAGGAAACACAAATAGCAAATGGTGAACATCGCTCTCTAATGAACTATTTACGTCAATTTAGTGATAAACGAGACGCGCATTTGGTAAAAAGTCATTAGAGTTTGCTGTGTATTTTTCCTACTACTAAAGAACATCTGTGTAAATAAATTATTCAGGCTGATTTAGTGCCAACTAGAGCACATTTGATGAAAAGGGTTTATTGCTAACCAGAGAAACCTGTAAAAAGTCACTGCGAACGAGCTTGAGGTTGCTGAGGGAGTCCTCACGGTTTTGCTGCATTTATGAACAACGGTAGCCACTTTGATTTCTCAGCTGCTTACCCACGTTGTTTGACCACCATAGTACCAGCATTTTGACTTGAAGACTAATTACAGCGATAACCTCAGGGGGCCTCCATCAACCCACCTTCCATGAGAAACAAGGACGGTTAGGTTTCGAAATATTGAAAATGTGACGTGGTTATTTGTATTGCTTGCTTCGTAATTTTGACTGAGATAGAGATGGAGGTGAAATGACCGCCTACATTAAGGCCACAGTACAAGTTCCATCAGCATTTCGGAACGTTTGGTAATTCAACATGCATCGCATTAAAATCCTTCCTACAAACCCACAAAACAACACCCTGGTTAAGGTAACAAGGCTTAAACACCTTGAAGCAAACAATTTTAAATCTTGACATTAGTCGGATGCACATGTTTAAATATTTGCAGTTACACCCACCTTTCCGATGTCTGCTCAATTTCAAAGCGAAACGCTAAAGCGGAAAAGTCGCTAATTTGTTTTGTTTTGTTTCTTTCTTTCAGTTTTTGCTCAGCGTATTCTTCACAGCTAGTCTTATTTCTGTTATTCTCCAACAGTACACTAGAGGATTTAAGCAGGAGTTAATGAAAACAGCAGTTGCTGTGTAGTTATAGGTGGTTTTCACTGTTAACGTGTATCCAGTAACAGCTTGCATAACCATCGTCGCCCAAAATGGAACATAGAATATCATGAACAAACCATAAACGTAAAGTGCAGTCACAGCTGATTTTCTACATTTGAGCACGTTTACAGTGTTACTTTGAACACTCTGCTGCTGCTGAGATATCTGGCGCTGATGTCTGCGAACGATCTGAAATACTTTCAAGGTGCTCATGGTTGTGACAAGAAAACTGGTAACAACTATTGCCGCGGGAAAAATACGCCACTGGCGAATCCAAAATCTTAGCATGACGATTGTCACAGATAACATTCATACAACAAAAACAGTTTGCAATACTCTTTGAACGGTTACAAAGGTGTTGTACCGTAAATGAAGGGTTAAAACAAGAAGTCGATCAATAGAGACTCCACTTAAGATTGCCAAAGATGCGCCACTCGTTGTCCACCCAGATATGCTCTTAATCATTCTCAAGATGCAATAGGCACCATAGTTATTTGTAAGCTCGGCAATCTTGTAAGCCACGTAAAAAGGCTGCGTAAATATAATAAGTCCAACGAGAAGATCCGTAGCAGCAAGACAAAATAAAAAGATGAAAGATGGCGAATGAAGTTCTTGCGTTTTCCAGATGACATGTAGAATTAGAGCATTTCCAGTAGATGTTACGAGAGAGAACACTGAATTGAGAATGCATGTTAGAACGTCTGAAATATTTGTATTTTTGGTTTGTTCCAGATTTACGTCCAGAAAGAAGCAGTTCAGATGATGTGTTTTGTTCATATTGTAGATAGTTTCATACACAGCAATAGCTAGCACGCCTCATGGTATGCTGTAAATGATGCAGGATGAGATTTTTGCAGTTTACATTCGATTGTTATATTTAATTCATATATATATACTTGCTATATTGAATAATTACGTAGTCAGTTATGGTTTCTTTCGGTGAATTTATCGATCAATATCAGACTTGCGTATCCTGACATCAAAACATCACTCGATCAGATAATGATATTTTCGAGTCATTTCTTTTTAGCCAATCACAAAGTCTGACAATGAAATAATTTTAAAATATCCATCTGTCTAATGAATTATTTACGTCCAGTCAGTTAAATACAAGAAGTGCATTTGGCAAAATGTGAGCACTCAACTGAGGAAATGTGTAATAAATTATCTACGTCGACTTATTGTCAGCGCGTAAAAGTAGATCATTATTCTTTTCGTAGCCACAAGCCGCCTGATCGAAGCTTATTGTGGGCTGTGCAGGGGCACTTCTTGTGAAGCGTCTCCTACCGAAATTTTAGAAACCGTCTGGTTATGCCATG